CTAAATAAAAGTATATAAATAATTATAGTTATAGTTATAGTTAATTAGTTAATAAAAATTGAATTGTTAATCGAAATATTTAACTATTTATTAAATAAATTATTTAAATTACCGGTATTCAAAAATTAAGTAAGTTATTTTATTTAATAACTACTTTTTCATTTTCTTTATTATTATATTTAATAACTACTCAATAAAATTATTTATTAAATTTATTATTTACTTAAAAAAATCATTTATCAAATCGTAATTCGACGTTGTATTCTGCAATGTTTGTGTAATATTATTGTCAATTTATCAGTAAATTATTTATTAAATTAATTATTTTATTAATTACATTATTGTATTATATTATTAATAAATTAGTTATTAATTAGTTATGTAATCGTTAATAAAAAAAATTATTAAACCAATTATATTATAATAAATAATTTTAATTTACATGGGATTTTTATTACATAGATTTAAAAAATTACAATAAAAATATTTTTTAAATTACTTATTTAAATAAATTAAATTAAATTAGTTTATTAAGTTATTATTGAGGTTCATCCGGACATAATAATATACCAATGGTCACTTGGGAGTGGCCAAGTGATCACAACATTTTATCCATTCTCAAATACAGTTTGTTGACATCGTCCGTAAGCTCGTGGCCAAAAAAGCGGCAGTTGCTAAATTCAACGGGTTCAGCCGAGGGGGCGTTGCTTCGTATGTTGACGTCATGTACAATTTCAGCCATGGTTCGTCCTTGACACACAGAGTTGGCCCTGTCTGTTATCAAACAGCATAGCAAAATACAGCAACTCATTCCTTCATGGTACAAACAAATGTAAGAAAAAAGAAGTTGTCCCTGTGTGATATTTTTTTTCCAAAATTAGGATTCTGCAGATTATCAATTTATGGGGTCTACACAGAGTGAAATAATACACATAATTGGTTTAATAATTTTTTTCTCTTCCAGTAAAATAATTTGTTTTTATTACAACATAACTGCTGAATTTAAGATTTATTACTTGTTAGTGTTTCCGGCCATAAAGTACAATAATATATTGCCTATGTCGATTGTTTTTTTTCTCTATGTATATGCCTAAGAATGAGATAAAAATCACCTGACCTTTTTTTAAGAGAGGAAAAAACTCGGATTTTGAAAAAATAAAAGGTCATTAAAAGACACCTCAGAAGTCGGGAAAGCTCATTTCCGGCCATCTAGGAATCAAAATTATCCAGATGCCGGACCCCGGGTCTTGAAATGGACTCGATGTCTCACGGGCCCTCGATCGGCCGTCGTCGGCCACGAATTCTTTTTTTATCGTAGGTAAGTTAAGCAAAATTTCATGAATTATGCATTAGAGTGTCTGAAGGATTACGAGTGCATGCGCAATGTCGCTTCGCTGACCGCAAACAAAACAAAGATAATAACGAACTTGTGATCCTGGTTACATAAAATCAATGTCTCTAATTCCTTTGTCGTGCCTCCATGTATGGAACGCGCTCCCGGCGTTCCATAACGATCGGCCGTCACCGGCCATAGCAGCAGCACAAACAGGAGGTGGCGTCAGGATTTGCCCGACGGGAGGGGGGGCGAGGTCCCCAAAGAGGGGGTCGATGCCCCGAAAAGGGGGCCGATACCCCGACGAGTGGTAAGATTTCCCCGACGAAAGCAAAGTTGGCGTGGTCGAGCTTATTTCGGAAGTGGTCCTGGGGGCGAAGGCCCCGAAAATTTTTACAATTGAGGAGTTTCAAAGGCTTATTTAATCGATTTTATAGTCTACTTATATGTAGAAAAAACCAATTGTGATTTTTCTCATCATCGGGGAGAGCTGGTCCTGGCCCCTCCGACCCCCTCCTGCCCCGCTGGCGCCACCCCTGCAGCACAAACTAAGCCTCAACCCGCTCGCTAACGTCACATTGGTCACACGGTGTATGTGTGATGTTTTTAGGTAGACGGTATAATTATACATGACGTGTCACCATACAAGCCACGCCCCCTCGACTGAACCCGATGTATATCAACTACAGTAGTACATCTCCTTTGGAACACCCCAATTCAGGGACACTCCTATTAAGGGGACACTTTTCCGTGAAACGAGGGGCGATAATATCTTTTAACAAATGGTTAAATAACCCTTATTAAGGGGACACACTATTTTCCCTATTGCATCACAGCAAATACAGCCGTCTAAAAATAAGAATAATTCACTCAACTTTATATTTTGACACATTTTCAGCAACTTATTAAGGAACTTTTATCATCTTTCTAACTATATTATCAGCTTTCTACTGCTATTTGTCAAGGGCGAGCTTTTTGTAATAATAATAATAATAATAATAATAATAATAATAATAATAATAATAATAATAATAATAATAGTAATAATATTTTAACAGAAATTGAAGTGAAAAAGAATTTTGAATCAAGTAAAATAATGCATTTCGTCAGTACTTTTATGAAAGTTAAGAATTTTTTTGTTTTTTGTGAATAAGTAATTTCCAAAAATGTACGCTTATCGGCTGGTTTGTATTTATTTAGAACTATGATTGCATGGTAGTACAATATTCATAATGCGGTGGTATAAATAATAATTCATGAGCAAACAGTGACCAGCAAACTATTATGACAATGTGTTTGAAAAATTAATTAGCTTCAATACAAAGGAAGCGGATGAATAATATTTTATGTAATCATATATATATAATATATATATATATAATATATATATATGATATATATATATATAATATATATATAATATACAGTATATATATACATACATATATATATGTATATATACATATATATACATATACATACATATACATAT